AAATTCACAAAATGCTAACCGGATGCATTTTACATCTTCTATTTGGGTGTCCATTCATCAAATTTGCTCAAACTAGTTGTTTTTTTACCAGGAACTCTGGTCAACTTATATAATAAACAAGTGAACTCACTTTCATTTGTACGTAGTGGTGTGGTAGCTTCCTCTTGCTCTGTGGAAATTTAAAACTATTAACACAGCTGATTGTGACTCAAGTCAGTAAAAATTATGCAGAAATGTATCAGTTGCTCATGAAATATAAATAATTTCTAAGGTACACCGGGATGGTTACGTTTCTTACAGACACCGGGATGGTTACGTTTCTTACAAACACCAGAATGGTTATTTTTCTTACAGACACCGGGATGGCTACGTTTCTTACAGACATCGGGATGGTTACGTTTCTTACAGACACCGGGATGGTTACGTTTCTTACAGACATCGGGATGGTTACGTTTCTTACAGACACCTGGATCGTTATGTTTCTTACAGACACCGGGATTGTTACGTTTCTTACAGACACCGGGATGGTTACGTTTCTTAAAAACACCATGATGGTTACGTTTCTTACAAACACCGGGATTGTTACGTTTCTTACAGACACCGGGATAGTTACTTTTTTACAGACACCGCGATGGTTACGTTTCTTACAGACACCGGGATGGTTACGTTTCTTACAATCACCGGGATGGTTACGTTTCTTACAATCACAGGGATGGTTACGTTTCTTACAATCACTGGGATTTTTACGTTTCTTACAAACACCGGGATGGTTACGTTTCTTACAAACACCGGGATGGTTACGTTTCTTACAATCACCGGGATGGTTACGTTTGTTACAAAAACGGGTAAGGTTACGTTTTAAGGCAACACTTAGATGATTACATTTCTCGGAAACGCCAGGAAAAGTCTATACGCGTAATATATTTCATCATCCAAAATAAGTCCCCCTAATTTATTTTTGTGTCCTAAATTTCAATTACATTATCAAATTATTGTTTTGTTCCCAGATGTGAGATGTTTTGTTGTGATCCATAGGATCGTCTAATTCATACATTGCAACCTGCTCCAAATTCCTTAAAATTCACAAAATGCTAACCGGATGCATTTTACATCTTCTATTTGGGTATCCATTCATCAAATTTGCTCAAATTAGTTGTTTTTTTACCAGGAACTCTGGTCAACTTATATAATAAACAAGTGAACTCACTTTCATTTGTACGTAGCGGTGTGGTAGCTTCCTCTTGCTCTGTGGAAATTTAAAACTATTAACACAGCTGATTGTGACTCAAGTTAGTAAAAATTATGCAGAAATGTATCAGTTGCTCATGAAATATAAATAATTTCTAAGGTACACCGGGATGGTTACGTTTCTTACAGACACCAGGATGGTTACGTTTCTTACAAACACCGGGATGGTTATTTTTCTTACAGACACCAGGATGGCTACGTTTCTTACAGACATCGGGATGGTTACGTTTCTTACAGACACCGGGATGGTTACGTTTCTTACAGACATCGGGATGGTTACGTTTCTTACAGACACCGTGATGGTTACGTTTCTTACAAACATCAGGATGGTTACGTTTCTTACAGACACCGGGATGGTTACGTTTCTTACAGACACCGGGATGGTTACGTTTCTTACAAACACCATGATGGTTACGTTTCTTACAGACATCGGGTTGGTTACGTTCCTTACAAACACCGGGATAGTTACTTTTTTACAGACACCGGGCTGGTTACGTTTCTTACAGACACCGGGATGGTTACGTTTCTTACAATCACCGGGATGGTTACGTTTCTTACAATCACAGGGATGGTTACGTTTCTTACAATCACTTGGATGTTTACGTTTCTTACAAACACCTTGATGGTTACGTTTCTTACAAACACCGGGATGGTTACGTTTCTTACAATCACCGGGATGGTTACGTTTGTTACAAACACGGGTAAGGTTACGTTTTAAGGCAACACTTAGATGATTACATTACGTTTCTTACAAACACCGGGATGGTTACGTTTCTTACAGACATCGGGTTGGTTACGTTCCTTACAAACACCGGGATAGTTACTTTTTTACAGACACCGGGATGGTTACGTTTCTTACAGACACCGGGATGGTTACGTTTCTTACAATCACCGGGATGGTTACGTTTCTTACAATCACAGGGATGTTTACGTTTCTTACAAACACCGGGATGGTTACGTTTCTTAGAGACACCGGGATGGTTACGTTTCTTACAATCACTTGGATGTTTACGTTTCTTACAAACACCGGGATGGTTACGTTTCTTACAAACACCGGGATGGTTACGTTTCTTACAATCACCGGGATGGTTACGTTTGTTACAAACACGGGTAAGGTTATGTTTTAAGGCAACACTTAGATGATTACGTTTCTCGTAAACGCCAGGAAAAGTCTATACGCGTAATATATTTCATCATCCAAAATAAGTCCCCCTAATTTATTTTTGTGTCCTAAATTTCAATTACATTATCAAATTATTGTTTTGTTCCCAGATGTGAGATGTTTTGTTGTGATCCATAGGATCGTCTAATATATACATTGCAACCTGCTCCAAATTCCTTAAAATTCACAAAATGCTAAACGGATGCATTTTACATCTTCTATTTGGGTGTCCATTCATCAAATTTGCTCAAACTAGTTGTTTTTTTACCAGGAACTCTGGTCAACTTATATAATAAACAAGTGAACTCACTTTCATTTGTACGTAGCGGTGTGGTAGCTTCCTCTTGCTCTGTGGAAATTAAAAACTTTTAACACAGCTGATTGTGACTCAAGTCAGTAAAAATTATGCATAAATGTATCAGTTGCTCATGAAATATAAATAATTTCTAAGGTACACCGGGATGGTTACGTTTCTTACAGACAACGGGATGGTTACGTTTCTTACAAACACCAGGATGGTTATTTTTCTTACAGACACCGGGATGGCTACGTTTCTTAAAGACACCGGGATGGTTACGTTTCTTACAGACACCGGGATGGTTACGTTTCTTACAAACAACGGGATGGTTACGTTTCTTACAGACACCGGGATGGTTACGTTTCTTACAAACACCAGTATGGTTACGTTTCTTACAGACTTTGGGATGGTTACGTTTCTTACAGACACCGGGATGGTTACGTTTCTTACAGACACCGGGATGGTTACGTTTCTTACAAACACCGGGATTGTTACGTTTCTTACAGACACCGCGATGGTTACGTTTCTTACAGACACCGGGATGGTTACGTCTCTTACAGACACCGGGATAGTTACGTTTCTTACAGACACCAGGATGGTTACGTTTCTTACAGACACCGGGTTTGTTACGTTTTTAAGGCAACACTAAGATGATTACGTTTCTCAGAAACGCGAGAAAAAGTCTATACGCGTAATGAATTTCATCATCCAAAATAAGTCCTCCTAAGTTATTTTTGTGTCCTAAATTTCAATTACATTATTCAATTATTGTTTTGTTCCCAGATGTGAGATGTTTTGTTGTTATTCATAGGATCGTCTAATATATACATTGCAACCAGCTCCAAATTCATTAAAATTCACAAAATTCTTACTTGATGCATTTTACATCTACTATTAGGGTGTCCATTCATCAAATTTGGTCAAACTAGTTGTTTTTTTACTAGGAAATCTGGTCAACTTATATAATAAACAAGTGAACTCACGTTGACCTGCAGGTAGCTGTGTGGTAGGTTCCTTTTGCTTTAGGGTGTCCATTCATCAAATTTGGTCAAACTAGTTGTTTTTTTACTAGGAAATCTGGTCAACTTATATAATAAACAAGTGAACTCACGTTGACCTGCAGGTAGCTGTGTGGTAGGTTCCTTTTGCTCTGTGGACAATACAAAACTATTGACACAGCTGATTGTGACTCAAGTCAGTAAAAATTATTCAGAAATGTATCAGTTGCTCATGAAATAGAAATAATTTCTAAGGTACTCATGCCCCCCCCTTTTTTTGTTTAACCCGAAAATAAAAATAAAATAAAATAAATTCATAATTACAAAATCCACCGCTTTTTCGTTTTCTTTTAACCTGATCAACTATAATAGAACACTCACTACTAAAAAAATCTACAATTTTGGTCACCAATGTCTTTCGGCGTATATACAGAGGAAATAGGCACACAAAAAAAACGTTCAATGTTATATTGAAAGTGCCATATATATAATGGCGTAGTAGTGTTGAATATAATGGCGTAGTAGTGTTGAATATAATGGCGTAGTAGTGTTGAATATAATGGCGTAGTAGAGTTGAGTTGAGTTAAAAATACAATTGTGGTTCAAATATTATATACATTTTATTAAGTGAGCGTGTGTTAAAAAAAATAAACTACTCTACATTAATTGGAAATTATAAAGAATGGGTTGTGGAGTGGCAGAATTGTGTAAATCTGAGCCTGTTAATTTCAACCGTGAGATGATCTGTTCACTTAAGAGTTAGCGTAGAGAATGGTAGCTGTCTTCCATTGGGTGAACACTAGCAAACTTTTCACATTCTTATAATAAAAATGTGTGCCAAGTAATAACTAAAGATTGAACTAGATTGGAAATAGAGACACAAAAATACTGATAACAAAAATAGTTGACAATTCTAATGGCCAAAATTTAACTACAGGCAGTGTTGTCACTAGGGTTGGTGTCAACTAGTGCGGTAAACTTTTAGAGCCCCCTCCTCCCGACTTCCCATGGATGTCCGCTGAGTCTGATTGCTTAGATGACAAACCTTCTCTGCTGACACCATGCTCTTGTGGTACCCTGCTCATGTTTCATCCTGGTCTGATTGCACCCTGATATGGTGCCTACCTGCTCTATTGGCACCTTGCTCTGGTGACACCCTGCTCTATGCTCAGTTTTGAAAATACTAAAGAAAACTCTAAGTTTCCATTTGGTTTCAACACCCCCCCCCCAAACTCCGCACAAAACTAGTTACGCTTAATGAAAACCAAAAGTTAACCCTCTCATGGCTAAAAAGCTACTTACTGATACAAGTCATCTGAGCCAGTGGCTTCGTGATGGTGTTGAGCTCGTCGTAGTTTCCCACCTTGACCACACGCTTGGAGTCACCTGCTATGGCCTGCAGCTCGGTGTTCGTGACCCAACTGCCCACTCCCACAGCAAAAATTTCGATGCCGCGAGCTCTGGCAGCCTCTGCCGCACTTTTAGTTTTCCCAGGTCTGATTGCGGTAAGAAGGATAGTTTATTCAAAATAAAACTGGGGCAGTGTGGAGGTTTGAAGTGACGAAGGAGAAATGTTGAAGTTTACCTAGGGCCGTCGAGATGATTACGGATTCTTTTGCATAAGAATAATGATGAAAGCTCAGATTTTTTATTTTAAATTGATTTACAAATATCCAGATCTGATCTCCTGCACCTTTCTAAGAATTTGAATTCGCCTGGCAAGTATTGTCGCAGACTTACTTAATGATTATCCCGGTAGCTCTGACGAAAACTAAAGCTGAATGAGACAACATTTGAAATAGAGTTGTGTTTTTTATAATGTGCAACGGCATGATCACTATGCGGGTTAATTAGTTCTTTAGTTGTTAGTAAGAATCACAGCGGTCAACATCTGCGAATTTTGAGAGCTTGCAGTTGAGACCCCTCTAAATTTTTATCCTTCGTCAAAGAAGTTGTTTTAAAAAAAATAAAAATATATTTTGATGATATTTAATGGCTTTTCAAACAATCATTGGCTGCACATGGTCTTCAACATCGACGGGGTTGGGACCCTATGATTAAGGGCACTTACTCTTGTGAAATGCCGTCTGTAATGACCAGACCGACCTTGACAACTCCAGGCCTCACCACGCCGTCGGCCAGCTGGACCTCGTCCATGTATGTGATGCCCAGGCCCGTATCGGTGTAATCTCCCTTCCGGTGCGGCACGCGGCCGATCGCGTTGATGACGTCATCTTTGCTGGAGTAGGTGTTGAGGTTGAATGCGTCCTTAACGAACGAGTAAAAAAAAAAAGTCACGTGGCATACTTAGTGTTGTGCCGAGTGCCGACCCGGATATCCGGAACTACCGAGCATTAATGTACATGCGTATATTCGGGCCAAGCCAAAATGGAGCTGGTTCCGGGTAATAAAAGAGAGTTATCGTTTCAATTTCTATAACATGCACTCAATAACGCCGAGAAATATAAAAATAGAGTCAGCACATTTTTTTATTAACATATAATTTTGTACATTTTACCTGAATTAAAATAATAAATCTAATTCTCTTGGTATGAATGTATTGTGTAATATGGTGAGTTCACGCATTGCTACCGCCATTGTTTGATGAGCTATAACTTATAACCAGTAAATAATAATAGAAAACTAATTGCACGAAACTAATTGTAACTTATTAAACTAAAAACAACACAAAAAAAATAATTTAAAAAATGCAGTTTGTGCAAATTTTGTGTAATTACTTGTGTTAGCAAGATGCATGCATTTTGTCATAACCATGGCATGGTATTTGCTATGTGATATTCTTGTTTTATTTCACATGCTGACTTGCTGATGATATAATTAATGAGTAGCTGAAGTGTGTGTGCGTTCGTATCATTTCTAAGTTCAGTCATAGAATTGTTTAATAATTTAATTTTTAATTATTTTTTGGGGGTCTTTGTATGAGCTTCAGATTCCACGAAAAAAGTATAACTAGGTATATGGATTTATCAAATTGATTTCCAAGGATTGACTTACAGAGCATTTTCTACTAAATATGGTTCATTCTCTTGTGGGGGTCGAGCCTAGGCTCTAATGACCCTTGGCTATCTTATCACAACCGTGCCCCACTAAGCGGACATCTCCGTAAATCAAATAGTTTACACCGTGGTCTCCGTGTTGGACTCGCCAAGCCCCTAGGGCACCCAAAAAGAGCCAGCGGTCTTCAGTTTCCTGTAGCCAGGCAACAGATTCAGCAGTTCGAGTCCCGAAGCGAGTCGAGTTGATTTAAGTAGCTACGTGTTGTACACTGTTTAGTTGTTGTTTTTTTTGCTTTGTTTATTTCGTGCCAGTTTCCACCAGGGGTCGCTCTTCCTCGGTCGCGTCATATTCTGGTACTGCTTTCATGCCGTTTCTTCTGCCGCCCAGCCGTTTTGACATTCCTATCGGAAATTGACTTTGAGCCACGCTTTGGATCAGAGGCGTAGCGAGGTGGGGGACAGGGGGGACAGATGTCCCCGGCGCCAGCTTGTAGGGGCGCCAAAATGTGCTTTGATATTATTTTATTGATGAAAATAATGAGTTTGAGAGTTGAAAAAATAAAAGGGGGCGCTTTAAAATGAAACTTGTCACTGGGCGCAGATCTTGTCCCCGGGCGCCAAACACTTTCGCTACACCTCTGCTTTGGATCATTGGACGGTCTTGTTGTGGCTGGGCTGCGCTCTAGGTATTTGCAAAACCACTGAGAGGAAATATTGCGCATGATACAAAGCCTAAATTTAAATTCTTCCCCATTGAATACATGGAATTTGCATGAAAACTGACTTCTCATTCGCTTTGATGGTAATGCCCGGAGAGAGGTCCGATCTCCCCACCCACTTTCTAAAACTGATTCAAACAATCTTATTAACCCAAAACCGAGTTCTTCTCAATCCCACTAGAGCTAGACCCATGCATCATCGAAAATTTTAACGTCCATCTAGGGGAAGAGCTCAAAATTAAAACCTTCATGCCTATATCCACTTCTTTTAAACTACTTACAGTTAAAATATAATGTCCCACAATGTGGCAATGCCCAGTGCTGGGAAATTTATTTCTACCCAAGTAGCTTGAATACTTTTTAAATACCGGTATGTTATATTTTCTTATACTTTTATACATTATCCATTTTGTAAATATATTAAATTATATAAATTAAGCAAAACTTGATAAATAGGGACTTAAATAGCCATCTCAAAGCTACATACAATATAATAAATCATCGGCCGATTTGAAGCCGATAATTCGATAATATGACAATTGGTAATCGATGCAACCCTAAAACAATCACACGACTCATCTCTACAACTAAGAAAATGACGTAAAGTCTCTAATGGCACCGCACAGTCCATGACATTGGATCCCTTGAGCAATACAAAGAGATGCAGAACAGAGAGCATACGAACATCAACACAGAGTGATAGACAGAGGAGGAAATAAAGAAATAAAGATAGATAGATGGATAGATAGATAGATAGATAGATAGATAGATAGATAGATAGATAGATAGATAGATAGATAGATAGATAGATAGATAGATAGATAGATAGATAGATAGATAGATAGATAGATAGATGGCCTCACCACGCCGTCGGCCAGCTGGACCTCGTCCATGTATGTGATGCCCAGGCCCGTATCGGTGTAATCTCCCTTCCGGTGCGGCACGCGGCCGATCGCGTTGATGACGTCATCTTTGCTGGAGTAGGTGTTGAGGTTGAATGCGTCCTTAACGAACGAGTAAAAAAAAAAAGTCACGTGGCATACTTAGTGTTGTGCCGAGTGCCGACCCGGATATCCGGAACTACCGAGCATTAATGTACATGCGTATATTCGGGCCAAGCCAAAATGGAGCTGGTTCCGGGTAATAAAAGAGAGTTATCGTTTCAATTTCTGTAACATGCACTCAATAACGCCGAGAAATATAAAAATAGAGTCAGCACATTTTTTTATTAACATATAATTTTGTACATTTTACCTGAATTAAAATAATAAATCTAATTCTCTTGGTATGAATGTATTGTGTAATATGGTGAGTTCACGCATTGCTACCGCCATTGTTTGATGAGCTATAACTTATAACCAGTAAATAATAATAGAAAACTAATTGCACGAAACTAATTGTAACTTATTAAACTAAAAACAACACAAAAAAAATAATTTAAAAAATGCAGTTTGTGCAAATTTTGTGTAATTACTTGTGTTAGCAAGATGCATGCATTTTGTCATAACCATGGCATGGTATTTGCTATGTGATATTCTTGTTTTATTTCACATGTAAAAAATAATTTAAAAAATGCAGTTTGTGCAAATTTTGTGTAATTACTTGTGTTAGCAAGATGCATGCATTTTGTCATAACCATGGCATGGTATTTGCTATGTGATATTCTTGTTTTATTTCACATGCTGACTTGCTGATGATATAATTAATGAGTAGCTGAAGTGTGTGTGCGTTCGTATCATTTCTAAGTTCAGTCATAGAATTGTTTAATAATTTAATTTTTAATTATTTTTTGGGGGTCTTTGTATGAGCTTCAGATTCCACGAAAAAAGTATAACTAGGTATATGGATTTATCAAATTGATTTCCAAGGATTGACTTACAGAGCATTTTCTACTAAATATGGTTCATTCTCTTGTGGGGGTCGAGCCTAGGCTCTAATGACCCTTGGCTATCTTATCACAACCGTGCCCCACTAAGCGGACATCTCCGTAAATCAAATAGTTTACACCGTGGTCTCCGTGTTGGACTCGCCAAGCCCCTAGGGCACCCAAAAAGAGCCAGCGGTCTTCAGTTTCCTGTAGCCAGGCAACAGATTCAGCAGTTCGAGTCCCGAAGCGAGTCGAGTTGATTTAAGTAGCTACGTGTTGTACACTGTTTCGTTTTTTTTTTTTTGTGTTTGTTTGTTTCGTACTAGTTTCCACCAGGGGTCGCTCTTCCTCGGTCGCGTCATATTCTGGTACTGCTTTCATGCCGTTTCTTCTGCCGCCCAGCCGTTTTGACATTCCTATCGGAAATTGACTTTGAGCCACGCTTTGGATCAGAGGCGTAGCGAGGTGGGGGACAGGGGGGACAGATGTCCCCGGCGCCAGCTTGTAGGGGCGCCAAAATGTGCTTTGATATTATTTTATTGATGAAAATAATGAGTTTGAGAGTTGAAAAAATAAAAGGGGGCGCTTTAAAATGAAACTTGTCACTGGGCGCAGATCTTGTCCCCGGGCGCCAAACACTTTCGCTACACCTCTGCTTTGGATCATTGGACGGTCTTGTTGTGGCTGGGCTGCGCTCTAGGTATTTGCAAAACCACTGAGAGGAAATATTGCGCATGATACAAAGCCTAAATTTAAATTCTTCCCCATTGAATACATGGAATTTGCATGAAAACTGACTTCTCATTCGCTTTGATGGTAATGCCCGGAGAGAGGTCCGATCTCCCCACCCACTTTCTAAAACTGATTCAAACAATCTTATTAACCCAAAACCGAGTTCTTCTCAATCCCACTAGAGCTAGACCCATGCATCATCGAAAATTTTAACGTCCATCTAGGGGAAGAGCTCAAAATTAAAACCTTCATGCCTATATCCACTTCTTTTAAACTACTTACAGTTAAAATATAATGTCCCACAATGTGGCAATGCCCAGTGCTGGGAAATTTATTTCTACCCAAGTAGCTTGAATACTTTTTAAATACCGGTATGTTATATTTTCTTATACTTTTATACATTATCCATTTTGTATATATATTAAATTATATAAATTAAGCAAAACTTGATAAATAGGGACTTAAATAGCCATCTCAAAGCTACATACAATATAATAAATCATCGGCCGATTTGAAGCCGATAATTCGATAATATGACAATTGGTAATCGATGCAACCCTAAAACAATCACACGACTCATCTCTACAACTAAGAAAATGACGTAAAGTCTCTAATGGCACCGCACAGTCCATGACATTGGATCCCTTGAGCAATACAAAGAGATGCAGAACAGAGAGCATACGAACATCAACACAGAGTGATAGACAGAGGAGGAAATAAAGAAATAAAGATAGATAGATAGATAGATAGATAGATAGATAGATAGATAGATAGATAGATAGATAGATAGATAGATAGATAGATAGATAGATAGATAGATAGATAGATAGATAGATAGATAGATAGATAGATAGATAGATAGATATTTCGCCTTATACCAATATAGTGGTTTCTGGAATATTCTACATTAAATTTACATCCTCCTCGAATCGTCTAAAATAGACTTTTTTAAAATTCACTACT